CAGGCGTTAGCAAATAACACAGTACAACAACGCTCATGACCTTTGACTATATTCCAAAGTACTGTTTGAGTACTTACAGCAATACACATATGTATTTTTTTTAAACATAATAGGTTTTACATTTTTTATTACTTTAAGACACATGTAGAATGTACCGTAGACTGTTTCTTTATTCAAATACCAATGATTTATGATAACAAATGAGGAATTCTTTTTTTTTTCCCCCAGCATTCCTGAAACCGACATTTCTAGAGGTAAAATGCCTCTAACTGTGCCTCAAGGTTTTTCTTCTGTTATTTTCATTTAAATGAGCCTCTCAGGTCAGAGTCTGTCTTCAGTGCATTTGCGTGGGATGCTGTTTGATTAGCATGCCAGCCCATTACTGCGTGAAGGTAGCTTAGGTTGAAAGCTGCAGAATGGAGTGAAAAGTCATGACACTAAAGTGCATGCTTAAAGCAGAGTTCCATTTAATTAACCGACAAGTCTGACAGTTACTGTTTAACACGATTCACTTCCTTGATATGTCTCGCAGACTACGTGATGGCAAAAAAAAAAAAAAGGTTCCGTGTCGACACGTTGAGCTAATTTATAAAACAGACAGCGGGCGCCCATACAGCAGCTGACAAAAACCTAAACGTTAAAGGTTGCCGTGCGTGCAGCTCCACATATTTTTAATGATGAATGACTCGACATGTGCCTTCTTGTACATAAAGTGTCAGAGTGCTGGACAAAGGTGTTGGAATATGACAGAGTGACGGGGAGAGGGAGACTGATAACACTTACATAACAGTAGTTTCATTTTACTGGTCTGGACGTACTGTGTTTCTTACGGCGCCCCCATGTTTGGGTGTGCTAGCTTGACCTCGGTAATAGTATATCTCATGATTATGATAACTGGGCTCATATTTTATATATACACACAGATATAAACACACCGTTAATGCTAATGTAGCATATTTAGCAACATGACAATATATATATATATAAATGTAAACAGTCGCTAAGTCATTGTCCCAAATGTAAGCTAATGTGTACATGACCATTTCTGAGGCCTATTTGTGGATGTTTACTTGCAAAGTGTAACTTAAACGTAATGGTTTCTTAAATTGTGGGTCATGAGCCCAGAATTGGCCCACGGGGATAAAATTGATGGGTCACAGCAATGCTTTTTGTCAAGTTCTTTATCTAGAAAATCCAAAAAATAAAAAAGTATAATTTTTAATTTAATATATATTTAATATAGGCTATATTGTAAAAAGCAAATAGAAGTATTAAGGTATTTAATTAGATTTTTTTCACTTACAGTATGTTAACTAATTTAAAAAACCTACTAACTAATGACAATGTGTCATTAAGAAACCATTTATATAAAGAAAAAACATAGCATCATCATATATGGGGGATATTAATGAAAAATGTCATGGTGATAATTATAGTAATAAAGAATTTTATTAGCTTAGAAGGCTTAGAAAGTATAAATTGTAAGGTAAGAGATAATTTACTTGCACTGTGTTGCATTATGTATTTATGATATGTAAAACTGTAAAAAACACACACACACACACACACACAAATATTAATCACACAAGTGGTTGCCGAAACTACACTGAAGGTCTTTTGCTCTACACTTTTTATAGTCAGCTGCAGCTCTACAGGACCGCCGTCCAACTGGGGCCTCCACGTTTAGGCTGATTTACAGCCCAGGGGTGCAGTCCGTTACTCCAGTGTTTACTCACCACAGGCATTAAACATAACTGTCAATTAGGAGTGGAAGTCAGAGCTCCTAATGGCCTTGTTTAGGCTGTCATGTGGACAAGCATTAGTGTCTCTGCGTCTGAGAGATTGTGTGTTGGTCGGATAAGGGGTGTGAAGCGTGTAAGCCCCGGCGCGTAGGTGTATCTTTGCGTCGGCGAGTGTTTGTGTGAAAGTTGCACACGGCTCTGCTGGCCTTGATCATTGGGAGCAGTGGACATTTCACCTGACACCTTTACGAGAGGACAGGATGCCGGGCTGCTTTTTAAAAGTTCCCTGGTCCACTTTGATGTACGTTATTAAATACAGCTGCACCTGATTTGTACGCCCCTCCGCCTGGTCTCTCACTCTCCCTGGAGTTGCAGTGCCGTTCACTGTTAATCCCGAGCATTGGCAGTGTTTTATGGTGAGGTTCTAATGAGTGGATTTAATTAGTGTCAGGAGGGGGCTGCACGAGGGAGGGGTTCAATCAAAGGTCACAGCTATTTCTTACACAGCTTTGTTCAAACATTTTGTTACAGGAGAGTAAATTATGCAAATATTCAAAAGAAAATAGACATTATTATGTAGTGAGTAGCCATTTAGGCTAGATTTCTGGGGACTTTTAACATGTAAAATAAAATGAGTTTACCATCACACCACTGTCATTTGTGTTTATTGCATTATTGCCTTTTTATTGTTAAGGTCTACCTTTGAATACCAGTCAACAAATGGAGCTCTGACTGCATTACCTTTCAAAGAGGCACACGGGTGCTTGAGAGATTAGGGTCTGAAGTATTTTGAATTAAAAAAAAAATCCTGATGAGAGGAGAAAAAAATTCAAAGAGCCGGTGCATTATCTGCATTTGAGCTACTTATTTGATCAAAGATAAGAGGAATGATCCACTTTCCCTCAGATGCAAAGCTCTGTGAGCCCTGTGATACAATCAGTTCAGCGTTCAATGACAACCGGTGGATGAACACGTCCTCATTTCATACTGTATGATAGGATTAGCACTGTATTTGATATGCAACATATGGAACTAAATAATCTGTAGATACGTTTAATAAAACTGTGCCTGCCCTACTGGTGGTCACAACGTAAAAATGGCTAATTATACCTTTGCCTGTGAGGATCACTATCTCTGTTGTTCACACACATTCTCAAGGAGCAGGTTCTTCAAAAGGACGAGAAACATCTCAAACAAATGAGTCTAATTGTGGCATAAATTGACAATCGTGCCATAACAGACATCACAGCTTGAGGTTTGTCATGCAGTGGATGCCTCGCTCCCTTTTCCACCTCCCACTGCTCCCAATCAAACAAAGAGGTGGGCTGGAAGTTTCTCTTCATCTGCTCAAAGGTGGACTGGCTGCTGAGCTTTTTTTTTTTTTTTAAGAAACAATAACTGCTTTTGTTGAAAACAAATGTTGACATTTAGAGAGAGAGAGAAAAAAGTGGGTGAGGAAAGGAAAAAAAAGAGTATGAGGGATGAAGACGTAGCGAGCGGGTTCTATTGAGAACTTGATCCACCTGAGAATGAGGCATCCATTTCAATAAATCAGTCCCTAATGAAAGCATTTGAGTGAGGAGGAAGAAGCTGGCCACAGGCTATAGTGTCCGCAGCTTCTATAGGTGTCTGGTATACGTAAAATGATAGGTTCAATATATCCACCGGGGACAGTCAAGGTCAAAACATGAGCTGGTTAGATTCAAATCAATAACAGTTTATTTTAAAAAAAACAGCCTGAAATTTTGTCATTTTAAATTTGAAAAAAAAAAATCTTTGCATTCCTGACAGTGGGCTACTGTTCACTGACAAATATGTCACAAAGACTTTTAGCAACCTGACAGGGAGGGTTAGAACTGAGTTTGAGGTGAGATTAGACCCTCCACTGTGTCACATCATGGTGGCAGTCAAGTAGCAACTCCTTAAGAAGGAAAAAGGCGGGTGGGGGGAGTAGGGTGGGACAGGAGGAGGAAAAGCAAGGTGAAAAGGGAGTCCCGTGAGATTTGGACAACACTCCAGCTCAAATTCAACTGGAAAATGAAGGATTAGCTTTTAGTCTGGCTCAGAGCGATGATGGAGGCCTATTCTGGGAGGATGGGAATATTATACATTTGATCTTTGCACAGCGTGCAAGGCCACAGCTGTGTGTCATAATAATAATAATAATAATGATAATAATGATAATAATAATAATGATAATAAAGGCAGTCTAATCTTTTTTCTAAATCATCATTTGGTTAATTAGCTGTGTCCTAAAGCCACTATAATACCCCATGATGAAAAGCAGGGTAAAGCCTGTCCGATTAGAGCCCATCACACAGCCCATTGGAGCTGGCAGATGCTTAGATAGACTTTTATGGATTGCTCAATGCCGTGCCGTAATGAAGCAGGCAGGGCTGACCCGTTCTGAACCAGGCTAAAAAGCTCCAGGGACGGGCTCCACTGGGAGCCCATAATGCCCGATGCGACCCACGGCCGTATTAATCACACTGAAAAATAAATGCGCCGCAGACTGGAGAGAGAGGAGGAGGAGGAGGAGGAGGAGGAGGAGGTGAGGTAGGAGAACCAGGGGTAGAACTGACATAAGTATGTCGTTTATCCCAATCAAGGTCGTGAATGTGTGGCCGAGGGAGAATCTGTGGCCAGAGTGGGGCACTATAGAGAGAAAATGATGGCTCATTTAGAAAAGAATGGATGGCGCAATCTGTGGAAAGTCATAATGTTTATGAAGAGCGGGATTCATCACGCATTTCCCATCTGCGTTTGACTGACAGAGTGGAGGGAACAATGAGCGGAGTGGGTGAAAAATGCCTCGGTTTCCAAATGCAGATCTGTTATGGATGAAAAAAAAGAGAAATGACGCCCCGAGATTGATGTAACAGTTGGGAAAACAGTTTAATATTTTCTCCTTTGAATAATGGATATCATAGGCCGCCAGTACACTTCCACCAGCGCGTGTCTGTTTTATTTTATTTACATTCAAAGATATAAATTAGTAAAAGTACTCCTGATAACAACATTGTGTAGCTTTGCTTCCAAAATGCGACTCAAATAAAAACTGTCCATCAAATACAGCATATATGTACATATATGTATATATTTGCATACACACATGTGTTTATGTATATGCATATATATACATACACACATACATATACACATATACATATATTTACATACATACACATATATATATATTTAAATATATATGCATGTATGTACATACAGTACGTGTATGTATATGTATATGTATATATATCATACGTGTATGTATATGCATATGCATATGTATATATATGACGCAATCGGATGGTGTCAGTTTTCCATTTTGCAATACAACTTGCATAAATTATAGGCATCATTTCGCCCTCATTTTAAAAAAATAAATATCAAATGTAGGCTTTTCCACTTTGAAGTCCCTTGAAGTTCACTCCACCTCCGTTTTTTGTCTGATTTTCTTTTAACAAACACAGCTTCACAGAAAGGCCAAATTATGATTTCCACACGCAAATGTTGACTAAATTAAATAATATACTGTGGCAAATAAGCAAACTACATGGAACCTGAGAAATAACTTGTAAAAACACAAAGCAACGCTGTTGTCTTAGTTTCCCCCCCAAATAGCATATTAAATTAATATCCGCAAAGGATCAGAAAAACAAAAACAAAAAAATTCAAATGACACAGAGTGCTGGAGTGACTCAGCCAGTGAGGAGGCGGTATAGCAGCGTTGATTCCGGCTGTGTGGTGGCACTGGATCCGGTTTGGTGAGAGGTGGGTTACTGGGGGTTATGAGTGAGATTACAAGTTGGTGCCAGCTCTCGCTTTATAGTCAAAGCAATTGTGACACCTACCTGCAGACCGTGGAAATAAAAAGATCCATACGATAAAGTCGTCCGAATGCTTGTAGAGAGCATGAGAAACAAGGATTCCAGCAGCATGCACGTAGGCAAGGTTGTGTGTGTGTGTGTGCATGCGCGCGCAGATGTGCGCGTGTTGAAAAGTTGCCACTGCGATTACCCAAGTGACATTTGAAGATGTGTGTTTGCGCGATTGATGCGCAGAGCAAACGAACTGATCTGTTTGCTTTTGGCTGACCTGCTATAATTATAATTATCCAGTGCTGAGAGATAAGAGTGTGTGTGTAATGAAGTGTGTGTGTGTGCGCGCACGTGCGCGCTCTTGTTCGCCTTCAAACACACACAAGAAATATCAAAACTGTGTTTCCTAATCAAACCTATGGCAACATCCCTCCTCTTACTCACTCCTCAAACGAGCACGCGCGTGCGTGGTGAGACCGATCTGAAGCCCGTCCCTCAAGGGCTGATTATTATGTCCATATTTATGTTGCACTAATATGAGCTCACCTCGTAGAAATTAATTTTGGGACCCTCGCACTTGAAGGTGAAAATATAGTGCCGTGTAGAAGAAGTAGGATTTTAGTCATTTTCAGAAAATGTTGAAGAAATTATAAATAACAAACATAATATGTTTACTCGCTTCGACAGTGCCTCAAATTGGTATTTATTTTCATATGCATCAATTTCAAATTTGCAAATCGTGTACGATTTTTTTTTTTGGGGGGGAGAGAAAAAAAGCCTCATTAAACGTGTAACGAGTGAAAGTGACAGAGAGAAAAAAAATCTGATAATTTGCATGGGTTCGAGAGGACTTCATTCATGTCCGTTTCGAAAAGCTTTCATTAGCATTCAAAAAAGTACAATCTTAAGAGTCTTTTTATTTTTTAGATTAAATTAGTTTCCAAAAATGATTTCGCAGGACAAGGTGCGTCGCATCTCGCATTACGTACCTTTCTTTGCTTCTAAATGTACGCTTCTGAAATGCTGCTGCTGCTGCTGCTGTTGCTGCTGCTGCTGCTCAACAGCAAAAATCTGGCTGAGGTTATTTTTAACGGGGGGCGAATCAGGCCTGTGTTTGGGATTTGTGCCGGCCTCCGGAGCCTGATGTGAGGAGCTCAGTCCCTCGTTTGCAGCGGCCGCAGCAGCCGCGGCAGCAGCGGCGGCAGCAGCCAGACTCACTCCGGACGAGTTGGTGTAGCGCAGGATGCCTTGGCCCGGCAGGGGGCTGAAGTTGCCATAGTTTGTGTAATTGCTATAAAAGGGAGAAGTGTAATAAATAGGTCTTGCAAGGATGGAGGGGGTCGAGTAAAGAGAGGGGGAGCTGGCAGCCGGGGAGGAGGTGGCGGAAGGTCTAGGGGGAGTCAGGAGGCCCCCGCTGGAGGAGGGGCAATTTGGTTGCCCAGGCTGGCCCGGTTGCTGTTGCTGATGTTGCTTCTTTTGGTCCGAGGTAGCAATCTCCGCCAGAGACCACAACTTGGGCTTAGGGTTCTGTGGTGCCCCCGACGGAGGCCTGCTGTCCGGGCATGAAGCCGGTTTACTGGCGTTAATGTTGTTGCTACTGACAAGGCTCCGGGCCAAATCCTCTCGCTGGCTGTGGAGTTGGTGGAGATGGTGGAGGTTGTGATGGTGGTGGTGGTGGTGGTGTTGGTGGTGTGGATGGTGATGGCCGAGAGCTGGTGCTTCCACTCCCGTTAGAGGAGACGAGTTGACGGCTTTGGGTGAGTGCTGGACCCGCGGGTCGTGGTTCTGGTCCTCACTGTCATCGTCGCATTTGTCGCTGCCGTGTTCGGAGCCCAACTCACCCACACGACAGCTGACCTTCTCCACGTCGGACTCTGCCGAACAGGAGTGGTCCGTCAAGGTGTCGACGTGCAAACTGATTCCTAAGGGAAATGAATAAATGCATTAAATAATAATAATAATAATAATAATAATAATAATAATAATAATAATAATAATAATAATAATAATAATAATAATAATAATAATAATAAATACGCGAAGACAACAAAAACAGAACAAAGCAGGTCCAATATCTATGTATGATCTACTTAAAATTAAAATGTTAAAATTTTAAATACATTTTAAAATAAAAATTTATAAATTTTAAATAAAATAAATTTCTAAATTGTTCAAATTAAGCTTGGAAGTAAGGCAGCAATTTATTTTGACGGTGAAAATGCCAAGTTAATATTTATTATCACTATAGCGTTTAATGTTTTTTTTTTAAACTCATAACTCAATTCATGTCATAAAGAAAAATACATCCCGAGCTGTTGACATTTTAATGAGTGCCCTCGTTCTGACTGCAGTGTCTTGTATGTTACTTTTTTTTCTGGTGACCTGTCATTAATCATGTTAGAGAAAATAAAAATCTTTTCCCTGTGTGTGTGTGTGTGTGTGTGTGTGTGTGTGTGTGTGTGCTAACATGTCCATTAAAACAATCAATTCAACGTGTTATTCTCTGTATTTTTCTTTATATCTCCATTTACATTTTGTATCCGTGAATTAAGGAGTAAGGAATAAGGAGTAAATAAAACGAGCCCCCCTCCGCCCCCCCGGCCCCCCTTCCCCTTTGACCCCCATCCTTTGCTGTGAATTGTTAAACGGATCATTGGCTCGGTGGCCAGATTATAGCCCACCTTCATCCTCCGCTGACGCCTCGCTGTTGTCCAGGTTTTTCTCTGAGCGCTCCACCTCCTTCCTCTCTCCGTCCCCGTCCTCCTCGTCTTCGTCTTCACTCTTATTCCTGGGGGCCCATGTCATCTTGTTCTCCTTCTTGAGCCTCCGCCTCGCGTTGGCGAACCACGTCGAGACCTGGGTCAGGGTCATCTTGGTGATGATGGCGAGCATGATCTTTTCCCCTTTGGTCGGGTACGGGTTCTTCCTGTGTTCCTGCAGCCAGGCCTTCAGGGTGGCCGTGGCGTCCCTAGTGGCGTTTTTGCGGTAAGCCGGGTCGTTGAGTTGGTAGGGGTACCCTGGACTTCCGTACGGGTGGTAACTAATTGCCCCGGCCATGCCCGTGGTGTGTGCGTCATATGGAGAGCTCTGAATTAAAGATGTAACAATGAAAAATGAAAACCCTCAAGTGGTGTGTGTTTGAAACTGTACATTCACTTCCGTCAATAATGTTAACATAACTGGGTGATCCAGTCGAAATGTAAATAAAATACAGTTCAGTTAAATGCATGAATATATTACGTATTTAAATATTATATCACAACTTGGAAAACACACACGTTTTGTGGAACTTGGCAAACGCGTTGAAAAATAAAAATATCACATTATTATATTATGAAAATGTTATTATAATTCTGAGCCTCGTAAAACAAAGACACGCATTTCGTAATTTGCCAAGTGTCTTTTACCGGGAGTAAAATCAACACATTTAAAGGCTGTTAAAGCACCGCTTATAAAAGAAGGCCGCGGAAGACACGCACTAATGATTAACTAATCGTTACGATCGTTATCGGATTAACTAATAACAGAGCTCTCGGTAAAGATAATAAAAATGGAATATCAATTTCCTTTAATCACCCATTAACAGCCCGTTTTCTCGCCGTACTGCAGCTTTTTTGTTGTGCAGTGACAGCCACAGTGTGTTAACACATCTTCTCTGTGCACCATTACAAATCCCATTAGCAATTCACTTGATATGCACCTTTTCCTAAAACGCTTCAAGTGGCCCCTGTCATCGTGCTTTTCATGTTTAAATCCTATTTATTCGACTAAATCGGCAACTCAGACCACTGCTGATTTAAATTATTGATTTAATAAAACCCCCAGAAAATGGGTTTCTTTAATTTTCTGTGGCTAAAATCTAAGATAATGTTCATTTATTATTGTATGTGTTAAACGATGGCCAGTTTGCAGCGCTCGCACACACCATTTACGACAAAGCAGTGGGTGGTGAATAAGGTGAAAATTACTATCTAGATTATAGCACTTGATGTGAAACGTGAAGCACTCGGTGGAAAAGTTCCGCGTACACTTTCTGGGAATTCACTCACTGTCATTACGCACGGACTGTGCCACATTTTGCGCCTGACAGTCGAAGATAGTTAGCGCATTTATAGACGTAAACAAAACTACACACTTCGTCCTAAATCGGGGAAAAAAAAAAACACCAGAAGAACAATGAACGCCACGTAAAGGCAGAATAATTTACCATGTAAGATGGGAATCCCGTGGTTGGATCCGTGGAGTATGACAGTGGGCTGGAGAAGCCTGCACCGGCCGAGGCGGAGAAAGCAGCCGCTCCAC